AGTGCACCACAACCGCAGAAAAAAGAATGTAAAGGAAGAACAGAAGGTAAGACAAAAATAATAATTATAAATAAAAAAATATTCCTAAAAAGAACTCTTCGTCCAGACCTGGTTGAACCGTAGTTGAAACAGGTTGATAAAACGAAGAGAGCAATGAAAAAGATAACGAAATTACAAAGTTACTGAGGTGCCTTCTTGTAACAGCGTTGAAATATCATTGATGTCATAAATAGTAATCAAGGTAAATTTCGTGTTTATATAATATGTACGAAATATTAGTAGCAACACTAGTCTACTTTTAGAATGAATTATTGTATGCCGAATGAATGGTATTTAGAAATTGTAATTATTCAAAAGTACTTATTTACTCCAATAAAGATGAAATCTATTCTGTTCTAATGAACAATTATTTTGCTAATACTATTCATATGAAAGTTTAAATATTAGTTGCTGAAACAGCTGGACGGACATAAATAAAATTTGGAACACAAAGGTCGTCCGAGTTCTAGGGCATTATTAATGGTTTACAAACAAATGTCTCTTCTATTTTTTATGTTGTTTGTTTAGTCTCTACCTACACACACCGCATCTATTTGAACAATAAAGTATAGTAACAGATAATTGTTATTCGAAATGACTCTGCAATAATCGGATTATACCTACGCAGAAAATGCACCATCCAACATCATATTGTTTGTTGTTTACAATATTACAAAAAAAAAATAAGGGAAACAATATAAGACTTAAAGTAAAAACTATTAATATTCTAGCTTTATTCCTATTGAAGGTTGTTTCTCTTTATGGAAATTGTTTTTTTTATTTCTAAGCAATTTGTTTCATTTGTACCAAGCAGATAATCTCTTCTGGCAATATTAGAGCATCATGGCTACTTCCCATGAGATGCACTTCATAAAAGCTTAACGTTGCAGAATGAAATTATGGGTATCCAATGAAATTGGTTAAATAAAAATGTTTGTCATAGGCCGTCAAAGAACGATGAATTATTATATGCCGAATTAATGGTATTTAGAAATTGTAATTATTCAAAAATTCTTCTATTCTTCAATAAATATAATATTGTTTTTTTTTTATTAATTGAAATAAAAGTATAAATATAGTGATTTAATAACGAATATAGTGATTTAGTATATGTAGAATATTATCTACTATATTATAATATCGCAGATTCAAACAATTAGCTAGTTTAGCTAGCTGAAGGGACCAGAAATAAAATAAAAGTATCAGATACAAAATATATCGGCAACAGATCAAATACTATGAATGAATATTTGTAGTATGAAATTTTATATTTTACTTTTAAATTCATCTTTTCCTTTGGCATCCTCTCCGGAAAATTGAAAGTTAACAATAAATAACTGCAAGCTAACGCAGTGTACTCAGAATATTCGGAGTGTTAAAGGTATTTTATAGATTTTAGTTATTCATTTTTTAGATATTTTATAACGTATAATAAAAAATATTTTATTCCTTCAAGTCCAATACATGTGCTCTGTTCAGAGTAGTGTTGATATTGAAAAGAGGAATGAATCGCTCTATAATTCTGTACCCGTTAGAACGCCTTGACAAGTATGTTATTGAATTTTATAAAATTATATTTTCAGTCCACAAACGGGAAGTTAATTCCAATCATAGTTACAAAACTGTGTTCAAATAATTTTATATAATGTTTTACACAATATTTATTGAAAATACTCCAATAAATTAAATATCGTATTGTCTGTTTATAAATTATTAAAACATATTTTCATGCATCAATTATGATTTGTATACATTTACTGGGTATTGCTTTATTGGGCATTGTGCATTATGATACATATGGATACTGCCGCATTACACAGTCAGCTCTACTATGCTTTTACTGTACTGTATTTTATTGGATTTGCAATTCAGGTAGTCAGCCGACCTCATAATAAGTGGTAACCAGTAACTCTCTATTTTTAGTAATACATTTTGTGTTTATTTTTCTAAAATATTTAATTTATTACTTAAAAAATAGTCTGATACTTCTGACTCATTGTTTATGATGCCCAAGACTATAGCCATCACGCACGTTACGACACTGGTGGTGACTGTTACCTATATACATGAACTCTACCACAGATGCGCTGTAATGTGACGACTAATGTGAAACTGTATTACATTTTCGAATCAGTAAGCAATTGCAAAACTGACTTACTGACTGCCAACATGGTATCCGGCCCGACCGTTCCACGGCTTACTGTCCTATTGAACATATGTCACGGAATCAGTGGACTGTGGCAGCCAGGTTGACGCAGCATATTTCCATATAAGAAAAGCATTCTATAGTGTAGGCAACGACGTATATCTTTAAACTGTCAGTTGCCGGATTTTCTCCAGCACTGAATAAATTCTTCTGCGACTACTTTCACAATCAATGCTAGTATGTGCGGTATAATGGAAGCTAATCTGAACCATATTACGGGTAATTCAGGGTAAAATAGCATTTTTGAAATTTTTGACATTTATCAATGATGTGCCGGTGGTAGTCACTACTGCGTGCTGTCAGTGCTGTTGTTGTTTGCAGACGTCTTATAATGACCAATTTCTCTGATTGCGAGCTCCTTCAGAAAGATATTATGATTTTTTTAATTGGTGTGAAAAAAACGCTTAATTTTCAATGATCCAAATACGTATTTGTATATTTGTATGTGAATATTTGGTGTCAATAATAATATAACTGTAGATATTTAGAGAGTAGTAACAATTTTAAACAAATACAAACTGTGATATATATAATTACATATATAGATGGGTTTTAACTAAAGTGTGATAAGGTAGATATAGCGAATCCCCAAAATGTTGGGTACTCTAACCGATTACAATACGAATATTGCAAGAACTTTGTGAAAATTTGTGAGCGGTTTATTATAAGACTTTATTAATTGCAATACAGGTCCTCTAAGCTTGTAACTACACAATGTAACGAGTTGAACAGAAAGATAATTAAAACAACTAGGATGCAGCAACTATCCATCCACTAACTAACAACATATAAATCTCTCTGTTTGTCTTTAGTTGAGAAATACATTTACGTATATATAGTATATATATAGTTGTTTAATACAAATTTAATATTCTTTGTTCTACGGTACGGTGTTTCTCATCTCTACACCCAATATACTCATCTGGTATATTTTGTGTACTTCTCGGTGATATAATAATTTATATTATATGTATGTTAATAATAGCTGATTGGTGAAGCTCAAGTGTCTCAAGCCCCTTAGTAGTGTTTTAATTTTTCGTTTTTATGTATCTGAATTGAAGCGCATAAAAGGTGGGAAAGAGGCAATACAGTTATCTTGGACTAGGTATGGAATACCCATAACGACGTATGCTAGTAACAGCTGTACCAATATACTAAATACGAATAGCAGATGAGGAGGATAGAAAAACAACTAGATAACAAAAGTTATGCATGCATGTACTCCGTGGCCTAAATCTATGTTTAAGTGGAGTATTAAACTACTAGGTCATGATGTTCTTATAAAAATTGTGAGCTGGAGAAATGAGTAGAGTTAGTCATTGGGTTGTTACGCTCTTATGAAATTTTCACACGACTATCATGATACGAGTATGTATGTAAACCAATATGTCACAACGCTCTTTTAAATATTTAAAATGTAAGTTGGGGAGACTACCACCTGGTGGTCTTACGCTCTTATGACAATTTCAAGTAGTTGCATTTCTTGTGAACGGAGAAGAAAATTACAGGATGTACTTATGTATACTGATGTATGTAAGCGACGGTTACCACTTATCATCAGATAGACCATCAGCTTGTTTACTATTCTAATTATATTAAAAACATGCCGGATCAGTAATCATTATGCACCATAATCTCAGGATAATCATATAAATAAGTAGAAGAAAAATCACTTGTGTGTTCTACCGAATTTATCTGTTATTAGCAATTGTTTGTATTATATTATATTATGGGTTGACTTAAATCATTGAATGAAACTCCGGCCAGTTTTTTTTCTGGAAATTACAGCATGGGGTTTGCCAAAAAGAGTATGTGTATTAAAATATTTTAAAGGTGGCAACGTGACCGTGGTGTTTCAGGCGTCCATACGCTACGGTGACCGTTTATCATTAGGTGAGCAATATGATAGATTCCCCATATCGTAGTGTAGCAAAAATGCAGTATGTTATCATTTTAAAAATATTATATTTAGCAAACATAACAAGCTATATGCTTTTCAGACTAAAAATGATAACTATCATATGTTTGGTCTGAAAAAGCATATAACATATACAAGTTATTTTTTTCTAGAATTATTTTTTGATGTTTGATTATTAAAAAGGAAATAAAAGCCGTTGCCGACTTTAAAAAGTATATTATACGTACTCTCAATTCTTACCCTTGTCACTAATAATAGTCAGGAACAAGAACTTAATGAATTCTACAGTACAGATGTGTTTTATTTATTTCCGGATATAAAGCACTATTTCCGTAATAGAGATTATGACATTGTTTACAACTGTGGTCTGTATTTATTCGGAACTAATCTGTACACCGTTTTACACTAATATCAGAGATAAAGTTATATTATAATGACGGAAATTGAACAGTAACATTTAAAATAATAAAAATCATGTACTTACCTGAGAACGTGCTTCGCACGACGTTTCATAATTCATGAAAAATCGCCTATTTTTCAGGGATATACACTTACATTTAGTTTTTTTATATAAAGCACCTATCCCCAATCTCTTTGCATCACAACAAATTGAAAATTCAGTCCTGTTACATACAGCGGTATCTCCAGCATTTGTGGACTTTCCATTGGCAACGTTCGAACCACAATGCAATATATTTGCACATGTAGTATATTTGCCGTTCCATTTACATAAGAAATATACAGCCTATGTACTCGTAGACATCAGGAATTTGAAATTTGAACCTTACACAGAAATATTTTAGGTAGGTTTTTTATCTAATTAATTACTACACTTACCGTCCTCAGAGTTCTTCGGTGGTTGTACAATTTGACCATCTGATGAGATGTATATGAGCAGGGCCCCATAAAGCGGCAGATCCAAGCAGCCACTCGCGAGGTATACTAGCAGTTGGCTGGGAGACGGCTTATACAGCAGGTACTTGTGAGGGTTAAGAGGTTTGTTTCTCCCATTCTCTAAATAATATCCTAAAACAACGATAGGGTTCTGGACAAATAGTAAAGGGTTTGTATTCTAAGTAGGATATATATAGTAAGGATATATTTAAATCGGACTATAAATATAATAGCATTTCTTCGATAAAAATGAAGATTTTTTAAGCAAATTATAATGACAGGCAATGGGAAGCTGTAACCACTGCTTAAAACAGGAACAGGATCTTGTAACAATACATAGTAACTTCCATATACTTGTGGTGCAACCCGTGGCCACATAATTGTCCAAAATATACAAATATGGATCTATATGATAGTCTGTCTTAATTAGACAGCATTGTGTCGCACAGCTGGTAGGATTACAGTATGATCTAAATATATGTAAACGCCAGCCATATATTGTAGTTTCGCAAGTTGTGCCAAAGATAGGTATAATTTTTACCAGACTTAGACTATAAAAATTACTCCAGTCTCGCCTGTTTCATACACCAAGCAGCTTCATAAGCTGTGTTTCAGTTATAGGATGATTAGACATCCTATATCCTATAATTTAGGATAAGAGACAACATCATAGTTCTAAGGAATGGCCACGCATGAATGGGGTGTCGCATGATAATGTAATATCCGTAGTGCTGTTCTTGTATTTAGGCGACGGTTATTGCTTACCATATGGACCTTCAGGTTATTCATATAATGCCAATTATAATACATAAAAAAGAGCAAGTCACATGTAATTCTAATTAATACACTTCGAATCAACTGCAGTTAATAATATAATAAATAGTAATAGATCGAGCTGCAATGATTATAAATTAGCTAAAAAACTGTTAAATTTTATTTTAAATGCAGTATGATAACTTGTTTAAGTCAAAAATACGCAATAAAAATTATATTAACTATTCTTGCAATGAAATTATCCATTATTACAGACGCCAAGCAATCACTAATTGGCCACTGCTTCTAATTCACCTTGTATTACTAGGGCTGTGCAATTTTATGGACTAGTTGGAAATAATTACAGAATACTTTCTATTTTCTAGTACAAGCAGAATTCACAATAGTACCGCACAGAAATGACATCAAAAAGATTTAAATGGCTTGGCACGTTAAAGGATTCACGTTACTAGATATGATATTCACGATAATTTGTAATTTGCCATACCAGCAAATTGCTGCGTTTTAAGTAATTGGTACACTTGCAGACATTTTTCAAACGCAATAACTTATTACAAACTTAGAAGTAGTAGTTTATTATAAACGTAGAATATTATAACTGGCACATAGGTACACGACATAAATCGTAATCATAAAAAAATATCTGATAGACACATTTTTGAGATTATGTAATATTTACCTTTGTTGTTGGGAGCATTGGGCGTCGATGTAAATTTCTGACGGGGTGAATCATCGTATATCTGGTGTATCTCGCCGGTTGCCTCCCGTTCCAATGTTTGCAGCATCCGGTACATATCTATGGTCAGTTCTGAGAATTTGACCTGTTGGGAGTTGCTTCCGATGATCAGTATTTCGTGTAACACTAGCGACATGTTTGAATTACGCTCCACAGGCGGCGTTGTCAACGGCGAGAGTCTGTAAGAAGGTCAATTTATTAACACGACCCATATGGCGCAACTAACCATGGTACGGTCTTGGTTTCGATGAGTGGTCAAGTCACTTACACTATGTACCCGCTACCACTATTCTATATTATAAGTATAACCGCTCGTACGCGTAACAGCAATTAAAAAATGATAGAATCTTTTAATTAGTAAATATATTATATTTATACTGTATACGCTGTATTGTAATTTGTAAAAAAACGGTTCTTTCAATATTACAAACAACACTCCAATTTTATTTATATGTATACAGATAACGTACAGATAACGAAATTTAATTGTACGATTTCATGACAATCGGTAATACTGAATATGGCAAGATTTACACTGGTTTTTTGAAGCTAGCACTAATGTTCAGTTACATTTAGGCCCAGACAGGTGGAAACAATACTCACAGATACATTTTATCTGACATCAACTGCCATGAGATGGAAACGTCGCAAAAGTGATAAGACAATTTGCCCATTAGTTTCTATTTCGTTCGAAATTTAACATGAAGATACACCCATAAACTATGGGTATAATCTATACATATTAAAATATTACCGTGGTAAACGTAGAAAGTAAAATATTAATGTGTTTCGGTCGAAGGGCAAGATAAGCCAGTGAAATTATAAGATCCATATCCTATAATTTGGTATGACATTGTAGTTCATAATGCCCGTAATAGAGCACTACATATATAAGCTAGGCATACCTTTTGTTTCCCAAATATAGGATTAGTTCTTAAGTTAGATTAAGCTGTAAATAATGTAATGTCCCGAATACAGTTAACTTTATTTTTAATTATATTCATTCCAGTCCTTCGGGAGTTATTGTACTATCTTTGGCCCTTCAAGAATTTGGGGCGGGTGATAATAACCCGATGACAACCGCGGATTGAAGTGGTCTATTATATCATCAAATGGTTCTGTTACCAAAAATGTTACTTCCTTTTTTATATAAAATAAGTAGAATTTTTAATTTGGATACTAACTTGGTCCAAATTATATAAATTACGGTAGTGAGCCCATTCTTAAAAAATATTAAGTAGATACCGAGCATATTCCGTACAAATATCTAACAAGAGATTTCAATATGCATGTATACAAAAAAGACTATCATAATGAGTATGAGCTTTACATGGAAGCTTAATAGAATGTATGATATGTCCAGAGCGTTTATTCTACAAAGCACTATAAATAAACGTGATAAAGTACAATCCGGCTTGCGTGCCGCTGCTGCCCTCTCGGATATTACCTTAAACAAATGTTATGAATCGCCAGTGAAGGTAGTATCTGACTAAAAGGATACCATACCGATGGAAATAAGAAACAAGTTTGAAAAAACACATCCAGATATTATTATTACGATGCTTATAACATTTGGCTAATACTGCGGTCACTTCATTTTACGCAAGACTTCCAGGTTCTATTCTTACTTATTATAAACATTTGTATTACATAACTACTGTACAATACAATAAGTGTACTGAAACAAAACTTGTTTAAAAATATATTTTACTTTTAAAACAGTGTCATATTCTTTATTGCACTTTTAAATACATAGATTAAATTAGTTTTAAAAACACAGTTTAGCAAAAGACGACTTATCTCTAAAAGAGACCAGTCAACCCAAAATACCATGACACACGAAGTAGTAAAATGATATTAACAATGTAGTATATACAAATATTATCCTAATTCATACAGATGTTTCTACAACGAACCTTAACAAATAAATAGTAAATGATAACTTTTCTAGTTACCATTGTACGATTTAGGGCTATCACACAGTACTGGAATCCATCGAACGGCTGCCGTTTGGCATTTGTAATTTGTAAATGTATACGACTCGTCCGACCGGTTCTATTAACGTACGAGTACCTTTATATATTATAGATATGACTAAACGTACCTGTGGGACAGAGTGACTGGATAATTGTCTGGGTGTAAGACAGTAATGACTGGCTCCATTTGTATGAAAGCCTTGACCTCGTCTACAACCAGGGCCCACTCCATCTGATCATCGGGATCGTACGTGATTCCGTAATCAATGATTTGTCTATCCAATTCTTTAATAAGATCCCGCACAAGCTTTAACTTCTTCAGTAGCAGACATACAACAATAAATCGAGCATAATATCTCAATTTCTTTACCATTAATTCACATTTATCTTCCTTACTAGCTTTTGTGTAATAGCATCTTCCTCGAATGGCATAGTAGAACGAGTAAGCCTCGTTCAGGTAACCGGTATTGCTCGTTCGGAGGCTGAAAAAAATCCCTTGTAATTTAGCATTGAACCATATTTCATTAAATTGTATCGAGCTGTTTAGATATGGCGTGGATTGTTTAAGCATTAAAGCTTCTGAAAGTACAATATCTTCACTATGTTATATTAAATAAAATAATTAAATAAGTGAGACTTCTTTTTTTCAATAAACTTAACAAATATATGTTATATTTGTTTTAACAAATATATAAAATAACAAATATATGTTATAGTTGTGTTACTACTATTGTGTAAAGACTATTTCTCTAAATAATCAACAATAAATATCTACACTGCAAAACATGTGTACTTACTAAAAATGGTAGTATAGCTGGCCAATTTTAGAGGCAATTTCCCCAATTTGCCACCTTTTGAGACCATATTTACTATCCAGAATACAGCGGTGCTTCTGTTGAAACTTCCACAATTTTGTGTATACGTCGAATGTACGACCAAAGTAGGAATGCCATTGTTTATGGCCATATTGGGGGAGCTCCCTAAAAATTAAGCAATTGATCAAACTGACTATCCTATAATAGAAAGCCTCAATTAATCATACTACGCATTTTACGCGCATATGTAATACGAGCAAACCAATATATAAGTTAATATAACATAAGTAATAAGAATATATTTAATTATAATTTTAATAGAAAAATAATAATAAAATCAAAACATATATATTTTGTGTATATATATGTAGATACAGCAGAACGGAAATCAAAAAATATTGCAAGAATTTGAAGTATTAAAAGATAGCAGTGTCAAAGTGATTACAAAGCTTGTAAAGGCACCTCTAGTCGAAGATAATAATTTAGTTCTAAAACTCTGTAGGGAGTGTATTCCATAATTGGGCAGCTCGTACAGTAAAACATTTAATGTACCGGTGACTCTTATATTACTGTAAAATATTATCAAAATCTGTTCAGTAGTTTTTGCGTGAAGGAGTAACAAACATCCATCCATACTAACAAACTTTCACGTTTATATGTAATATTAATAAGATTATACACTAAACACTCATCATCACAAGAAAGATTTCATTATTTAAACGATACTCGTACTTTGAAGTGCCAGTTACATTTATAATAATTTGTTTTTGAGAAAAGTAATAAATATTATCATATATTCATACCTGAGACCGTTGAATAGTTGTTTAGATTTTTCCAGTAAGTGACAGAATTCAATGATCACTTTTCTTTCGTGTTCGTCTAAGGGATTCATATTTTCCATTGATTCAGAGTTGTGGTTCTTGTTACTTTTAGTTTGTTCCTTAGTATTCGCACAATCATTCACATAAACATCTCCAACTACAGGAAATTCGTAGTTGCGGTCGTCAAAGTCCATGAAATCTTTAAAATGTAATTCACTTGTACTGACACACGTTTCTAAGTTTTTAATGTTATATCTTGCCTTAGAAAGGAATGGCGAGTCAGTAAGTGATGAGAATCGGCAAGATTATGTTGTCCTCATTGACTTACCGGAAGTTCCTGGTAAAACTTCTGGCTCGTCATACGTTATAATATAGTAGTCGTGGTCAAACCTACTATTTACAGGCACTGATAACGCTAGCGCACGGCGGTAAGGACTTTTATATACTTGAGGTATAAGTCTTTGTGTAGGTATTCTGGCTTGCTTATGTTCCTTTAGTACAGGTGGTGAATCAATAGATTTATATGAATATCCATTTACTAAGTTATCAAATTGTAGATAATCGTCTTCTATATTTTTAAAAGAATTAAAGAAATATCCCGAGTCTGATTCTTCTACAGATGTAGGTGTCAAATCAAGATACCACGCTGTAGATTTATGTGTTTTTTTGTTATATAACGACTTACTTTCTGTCGAATACCTTGGTTGTTCAAGAATCGGTCGGAAAGTCGCAGGTCGCGCTCTACAGTATGTCTCCACAACAGAACCAGCTGTTTGCGTAGATTTTGATTTTAATTGAGCTGCTCTCTCTGCTGCAGCTGCTTTCGCTTCTCTAGCAGCTTTAGCTTCTTCCGCTTTTATCTTTTCTTTTTGCCTGATTTCCTCTTGTACTCTCAGCCTCTCAAACGCCCGTTCCGTTATTTCACCTTCTGATAGCTGCTGTACTCTTCGGTGACGAAATGGCGGCCCCACTGGAAGAAAATAAAACCGTTATAGGATATATTTATGATTATAGATTTATAAACAATACTTTTGCTTTAATAATATTTATTATGTAAAACAAACTAATTTATGTTGTGTTATTAAAAGCAACATTAGCAAGTCTACATATTGCTAGTTATATTTGAATCTAATGTAGCAGATATTTATATGCTACTTGACTATTTCAAATTAAATCAAACCAAATTAATTGCTAATAACGACACGAATGCTTTATTCAAATTTGCATACCCATAAGTAGGGGCAATTATACAGTTCCCAAAAATAGTATTACATGGATAAATTACAACATCGTCTAACTGTTTAATTTCATTTCATAATTGCAGCAACATGGAAAAAATAAATATTACTTTCATTTTCTAAAAGTTTATTAAACGAAAGTCAATGGTCGCACGGTGGTAGAAACGAATTTCGAAACCATAATAAATGTTTAAATATTAAGTTTAAACGGTACTAAGGTTCTATTGTCGAAGGTCAAATGACGTGCTATATCTATGTGTGTCAAACACATAAATGCTTTTATGAAAACACTATGAGCCTCTAAGGCTCATGGTGTTTTCAAGGTGACTTTGGATAGAACGTTAAAAAATCGTAGCGGAAATTACTTTTATATTTGCTGAAAATTTCCGACAAACTCTCCCGTTTTTGTCATTAACATCGTCTCCCTTATAAACTTTAATTGAAGGTTTAAAATTACATACTAATATAAGCACCGGGAAGCTCATTATCATGAAATCACAGATACTGATTTCCCACAAGAACTGCTCAAACTTGGGAATAGAATTTTTTCCACTCCAAATTTAAACAGAAATTGTGATATCTTTCTGGATGAGGCTCTAGGTCAAATCGTACATAATTTAGAAATTTTAATAGGTGCTGCATACCCTGACATCGAGAATTTGTACGAATAAGGCTTTCATTGGTTGTATTCTAGGGCAAGTAAGTGTGTAATAGATCTATGTATGTTTTGATCTTAAAAACTAGGCGGAGTTTGATGCGTTTTTATTTAATAACTAGCTGTACTCGCGACTTCGTCTACGAGGAATTTAACTTTATTTTTCTGAAATAAAAGTAGCCTAAGTTACTCCTTATTACATCAGCTTTAAAAGTCCCGTTAAAATCGGTCTAACCATTTCAAAGATTAGCCGAAATGAACAGACTCTAAAATGTTATTTTGGTGTATGTACTGTATTTATATTCATATGCATGTAGTAAAAAACAGTTATTTCAATATTACAAACAGATACTCCAATTTTATTTATATGTATAGATAAAGATAGAGTGAATCAAGAGGAAGGTTTAGGATATATAACGTCCCACTATTGAGCACGTATTTTTAAACGCGTCATAACCAATATACCCTATGTCTACGCGGGCGGAAAGCTAGTGCTGTATAAAACTAAGAAATTTGAACGTGTAATTGGCCATTTTATATAACTTTAAAATATTATTTTATGTCATCGAATTACAAGGTATCATGCTAGGTTGACCTCCACTATAGTTCCGTCTGGAAATCATCATGATAAATTCGTGGTGATTTTGTATTATTGAATGTACTTTAAGGAATGCATGATAAATCTTCTGTGAAGTAAGGGTTTAACAGTTACATTTCATTATTCGTTCGATATTACGTAGTAGGTATTTGTAAAGTTCTAATTAATGCAATATTTGAATTAAGTAAGCATAAAACAACAAATATATTAGGTATAGAGAATAAGAAATAAATAATACCACGATATAATCTGATATAATTCAATGGGACAACATATGTATATATATTACAATGAAGACAGACAATGCTATTCATATACATAGTATACATGTAAGATATATGTATATATATTTGATGGCCTTGATGGACTAGCGGTTAGCACACCGCTTTACTTGCGATGGTTCCAGGTTCGATTTCTCGCACGAAAACTTTATATTCATGAGTATTATACTCAAAGGCCATCAAATATAAATATATATTTATAATGGTTTGTATATTTTATTATGTATATTATAGTGCATTTACAAAAAATGTATCTAAGTATTTGTATCAGTTGTCTAGTACATACAACACAAGCACTGCTTAGCTCTGGACTATATGGCACTGACTGAATTGGCTTGTCTGAAAAATCCCGTAAAATGTTTTCGATAGTAAAAGTAGAAAAAGCAACGAAATTGGATAATACTTTTATGGTAGAGATGCAGACTGTTGAAATTGCATTCTTGATTATTTTTTTGGTTTTTTGGGATAATATATGTTTTTTTAGAACACAAACCTGTAATTTATTAAAAAACAATGAATTTTATGAACAAATGAAATTAACGGATATCCAGAAGTCGTTTAACAATAGAATAAATTAAAAAATTAATAGAAGAATTTTATTTGTCTGCAAAATCTAGTTACGAATGATATCTTTTATCTATCTTTGTTTATTATACAAAAGAAAACAGACAGGCGCTTTTTCTCATTACACAGTAGCATATGTAAATTTGTAAAGCCTATTTCCGATACTGATGTTACATGCTCTTAGTCGATCTGTCGTTGTACTGCTTAGATTTTTGTTGGATATCTGCCAAAACTTAAACTGTGCCATAATATACCGACAATCTCTCGATAATGAAGTTTACACAACTAATACCTAGCAGGAAGGAGAATAAACTTAATTTAATCTCATGAATCTATGAAATATATCTAACAATAATACAATAATGTCTTTATAATATTATATAATATTCTCTTATTTGCTAATATGATGTATACATATGAAAGTTTAATTGGTACTTGTTTACAACTCAACAACTTAGCTAATCGTTAGCTTGTTTATAACAAACTATACAGGTATACCGAGTTTCAGGGATCTGAAAGGGAATTACATGTTTGCATTCAATATGCAGTTTGAGTGGTAGTTTCTAGCAGTTTAATGACGAAAGTCTACAATATAGGTGCTGTATCCAACTGACAGATTACGGTATATTTAATATACGATTTTTTTTTATTCTTATCCAATAATACCCGTAGCTAGTAAAGACAAGCTTGAAAGGACAAAACTAGATTTTTTAATTGTCATTATCTGTATTGCTGAATTTGTATGTAAATAATTGTGTCGTATCAACATGGTTCTTGTATCAATTTCTAAATGTTTGTTATCAATCATTGTCCACTTAATTATTACCAATATACCACATAATCCAAATAAAAACATGAACACTGCTATTGCGTATAACACATACGTAAAACCAGTGCTCACGTTATTCACATAGTTTTTAAATGATTTTTAGAGTTAAGTGTAGTTAAATCTTTTTTAGTTCTTTTACTATTTTAGTGTGATGTATATTTTTAGATTGTTGTATTCTTAAATATTTGTATATTTCATAACAATGTATTGCTTCTTCATCTTCATTAAACACGCATCTTTCTTATTTTCTTTATTATTCCCCTCCCTGACATGCAGCGTTTAATATTTATCGAATCCAAAACTCATGTGAATAGCACTAAAAAATTGTTTGTTGAATCAATAAATTGTTTCAAATATTTCGTCTTAGAATTCAATTTTATGTCGTCTACATATATCAAATGAGTTATATTAGTATGTTCAAGTGTATTCACTATGAAATTAAGAAATATTTAGAGGCTAAACCACAGAGGACTAAGGAGATGTAAAATGCCATTACCTATATGTTTTATTAGTAGTAACGGAGCTATTATTTAATGTTAATGTAAGTATTGTTTTCCAATTGGCCATAGTGTGTTCCAGAAATCGAATTAGATTGTGATTAATTGTAAAAAATTTTAGAACATGTTTTAATAAAATGAATGTTTCTATAATTTTTGTTAGCTCGTTTAAGTACAGTCGAGTCTATAATTAATTGTTCTTTACACCCCTACTGATTCTTCCTGTATACTTTTGGTTCTTAAGCCATTATATTGTTTCAATCTAAATGAATGTTAATTTTATGAGAATTATATTGTAGGAAATGTTATTGGCCGCTACTCCTCCGGACTTTCGATATTTTGATATTTTGCTGCCACATAAGTTAAACCTACAGACATAAATTTCGGTAATTCAGTTATGACAATAATACAATCGGTA